CTACGCATAAACAAAGGAACCCATCCTTCCCCCTAAACAGCACCAGGGCAGCCACTTGCAGTATGAAACCATGCTCTAGTATTTTGTCTACAATTCTTCTAATTCTCTGGGGGTCATGGAATACAGTTTCGGCTTGGGCAATTTAGTCCCAAGAAAGATTTCTATGGAGCAATCAATCGGGCAATGGGTGGGAGTGTGTCTGAGCCCTTTTCACTAAAAACATCTGGTAGGTTCCAATATTCTTTAGGAATCTGGGGCACTCAGATTCAGATTCTTGAAGCACTCCTTCATCGCACTCACACCTCTCTTCTTGGCTTCTCCCTCAGGGTTTTAGGGGTAGGGATCTCAAGTTCTCATTCACTTCCCCCACATCTTCCTTCTCCAGTTTATCCAATAAAGGGGGGCTCTCCATGCCTGACACCACAGTAAAGTTCAATGTTTCCATATGAGCCCCTACTCCCATCTCTATGTCAGGTTCCGGGAGCTAGCAAGGAAAGAAAATGCCACAATACTCAATTCTGGTTTGTAGTAAGTTTATCCTCTTTGCTCCGGTACAAACTGACCACCACCATCACCAAAAGCAATGTTGTGAAATGAAGTTAGGGCTATCTGCCCAGTGCTTCCATCACCATTTAACCCTTCCCATGCAGGCCCCACTATACGACTGCCTCAGATGCCAAAACATGCCCAGTCCGCATGCAGTTGTTTCACCTCCCAGATGCTCCAGATACTGAAGGCTGTCCAATGCACATGTGCCTCCCCACTGATCAGTCATCCACAAAAGTGGCAGCGGCAATCAGGCCCATCTAGAACGTTGTAGCCTACCCAGCACGCATGCACCCATTCCGCCTCTCAGCTGTTCAGACATCCACGGAGGCAGCAGCGGTGTCGATGTACAAGACGGAGTCCAGAGCCACAGGTATAGGGGTGTAGCTTGGCCGCACAGTCCTCTATTCCCCCATACCGCCATCCCCTGCCAGAATGGCAGCCCCTGGTCGCCAGGCATGCCCGGGCTGACATACAGCCCCCCCCCTACCATGGAGACAGCACCCAGAAAACAAAGTAAGAAGCTGTCTGGATCCTGCATGTCCCTCCCTTGGTGGGGTTCTTCCTGTGGAATTTAGCAATTAGGCGGGTGCCCATGCCTCTGTGCTATGCACCCAGGACGATTCCAATAGCGGATATCCTTTCCAGGGGATAAGGTATTGTCTACGCTACCTGGTGTCCAATATATCATCTATTTCATAATGCTATACCCCTCTCCACAGTGACAAGGAGAGGTGTGGAGGAGGATCCCCTCAAAAATAGTACATCCAGACTGGATATAGTAAGCTGCAGTGGAAGATTGGGTGGGTCTTCCTCAGTAACCGGGGGAGCTGAAGCTGTGGACAGGGTTAATGATCTTTATGATTGGGAATGGTCCAATGAATTTAAGTGCTAGCTTCTTGCAGGGGACCCTTGAAGTATTTTGTAGACAAGTAGACATGCTGGCCTATATGGAAGAGAGGTTGTGGACTCCATTTTCCTGTTGTTTATAGTCCGTTTCAGACTTCCGTAAGGCCTCCCTGACCACTGATCATACTCGATCATCATCTGTGCCACCCATTCTTGCAGCCCTAGTTCCTTGGGGGCCTCCCGGGAACACTCAGGGATTGGAACAAAATCTACTCCAGTAGCGACCTGGAAGGGGGTGAATCCGGTGCTATTGTGGACTGCATTATTAAATGCTTCTTCATCATAGGGGAGTAAGTCAGCCCAATCGAAATGTTAGTGCTTTATGTAGCAGCTTAATTATTGCTCCACCATTACATTAGTTCTTTTGGTTGCTCCATTGTAGTGGGATGGAATGCTGAACTGAGGCCTTGGGAGGACCCCACCATAGCTAAAAATGTATGCCAGAACTTAATGGTGAATTGTACCCCTCAGTTGGAGACAATCCTCTGTGGTATGCCATGAAGGCAATATATGTGGGTGGCAAACAGTTTTGACAGCTTTCTGGCTGACGTGAGACTGGGACAAGCCACAAAGTGAGCTTGCTTGGAAAAGAGGTCTATGACTATCCATATCATTGTATTGCCTTGGCTGTTCAGTAAATCTACAATGAAATCCATGGCTACGTCCTCCCATGGTCTGACAGGAGTCACCACTGACTGTAGGAGTCTGGGAGGTTTTCCTTATTGTTTTTTCATGGTGGCGCATATGATGCATATGATGTAACTATGCACGCAGTCCTCCATATCCGTATTTGATGCACGGCCACCAAAGTTGCTGATTCATTAGGTGTAAAGAAATCTGAAATGCCCAGCTGTCCAGGCGTCATGGCAGTGTCGCAGCACTTCGAGCTGGAGAGTGCTGGGTACATAGATCTTGGACCCCTTCCAGGCAAGGCCCTCCTGTTGTGTGAGAGTGGGTCGGTTCTCCTGTAACCACTAATTGGTCGGAAGTGCGGCTTGGATGGAACAGAGTATGTCTTCCATCTGCACCTTCGGTTGACCTGTGGATGGTGCCTCTTTAGCTGATCGTGCCTGGAGTTGCAGGGTTGGTATCATGGCTTGAACTATCTCCTCCTGCCTGCTAGCATACTGTGGTTTCCGAGACAGAGCATGTGCTAAAAAGTTCCTCTCACCGGGTATGTACTTCAGCCTGAAATTGAAGTGTCTGAATTTCAATTTCAGCCTGAATTTCAATTTCAGACTGAAATTGAAGTGCCCACGGCACTTCTTTGGCTGACAGCCATCATGGGGTTTGGAGGGCTTCCAAGTTTTTATGGTCCATCCAACCCCACCCACCCCCCTTACAGAAGGTGTCTACAGGTCAGCAAGGCCCACTGGACTGCAAACGCCTCCTTTTCCCATATAGCCCATTTGTATTTGGTGTCATTCAGCTTGCGGGATGTGTAGACACATGGTTGTAGCCCCCCCCTTTGGTTTGCAAAAGAACAACGGCCACTGCCACATCACTAGTGTCCATGTGCTACAAATGGTTTGGTAGGATCTGGATGTTTCAATACTGGTTCCCTGCAAATAACATTTTCAATTGTTCAAAGGCTTGTTGACAAGGTAAAGTCCATGGCACAGGATTACCTGGGCATGGCTTCCCTTTTAGATATTTAGTCCTTAAGAGATCCATTAGTGGGAGAGCCATGTGGGTGAAGAATGGGATGAACTGGTGATAAAAATTAGAGAACCCCAGAAAACTTTGCAATTGTTTGCGTGATTTCGGAGTCTGCCAGTTCAACACTACTTTCACCTTTGTGGGCTCCATCTCCACTCCCACCTGGGAGATGCAGAATCCCAGATTATCCAGCTTTGACTTGTGAAACTCACACTTGGATAATTTGATCCACAGCTAATAGTTTGCTAAGGACCTGACGCAAACTGAACAGGCTGATATGTTCATCCAGGGTCTTGGTATATATGTTGCCTAATGTCACAGATTATCATTGCATCCCATGCAATTTTTCTGAGGTTTTCTTGACACTTCCTGTCAGGTTCCGGTAGTTTGCAAGGAAAGAAAACACCACAAAACTCAGTTCTAGTTTGTAGTAAGTTTATCCTCTTCATTTTACTGACCACCATGTTCCCCATGTTGTGAAATGAAGTCAGGGCTGTCCACCCAGTGCTCCTGTCACCATTTAAACCTTCCCACTGCCCTGCCCTTGCCACGTGCACTCCACCTCCACGCAGTCGCCTCAAACACCGAAGCATGTGCAGTCCGCATGTGCCCATTCCACCTCTCATTATTAAGACATCCGCGGAGGCAGCAGCAGCATCAGTGTACAAGATGGAGTCCAGAGCCGCAGGTATAGGGGCGTAGTTCGGCGACGCAATCCTCCATTCTCCAGTGCCACCACCTCCCACCAGAATGGAAGCCCCAGGCCACCAGGTGGGCCAAGGCTGACACTCTGCTCCATGATGGCGAACCTATGGCATGCATGCCACAGGTGGCACACAGAGCCATTTGTCATGGCACGCAAGGCGTTGCCCTGTCAGCTGGCCAGCGCGTGTGTGAATACTTGCCAGCTGACTTCGGCCTTCTTTTGAGGCCATTTTGTGAAAAACCGGCCCTATAGGCAAACTAGAAATTCACGAACAGACTTCCGGTTTGTCTGTAGGGCTGTTTTTTGCCCTCCGGAGTCTTCAGGGGCCTTCAGGGAAGCCTCCTGAAAGGCTCTGGAGGTCAAAAATCAGACAAACCTATGGACAAACCAGAAGTCGTCATTCCTGAACTTCTGGATTCCCCGTAGGTCCGTTTTTTATCCTCTGGAGGGTTCAGGGAAGCTCCTGAGGCCTCCGAAGGGCGTCCGGGGGGGGGGGAGTCTGGAGCCTGGGGAGTGTAAACAAACTGCGCCAAAAGTGGGGGGGATTCGCACACATAGCATTATGGGTGTGGCACACCTGCACACAACCCCCTGCATTCCCCCCGCTTTTGGCACAGGAGCCACAGGTTCACCATCACTGCTCTATTGGTTTGGTGACAAATGATATGGGGGCTTCAATTGTTGGGGTTCCAATGGGAGAACATCAGAGTGGAGGTGGTTGATCGATTAACAACAGATCCTATTCTGCTCCCATCCTCCCTATGTTTTAATTGGGCCACTCTATTTGTCTGTGTGTTTAGGCTTTTGTCTTTGTACAGTTTTTGGTTTTAAGATTGCAAGCCTCCCACAGTTATCCTAAGGTAAGATGGGCAGCCAATAAATGTTCTAAACAAACACAATATTATGAGCTTTACTCATATGAGATACTCAACTCCAAAATGTACATTACAGTTTATGGTATGCAACTAGTGCATCAATATATGACAATTTTAAAACTCTATCTTTGCTGTGGAGAAAAGCATAATTGATTTAAAATCACAACATATTCTGAGATGCAATCCAAAGCATACCATGTTGGTTTATTTCCATACTTCCATAATTGATCCATCTTAAGAGGTTTTAATATACAGAGCCACTTATAAGTAATACTTCTGATGTATTGCAATGTCTGTCATTTAAGGATGTACATCATGGAAATGGTACGCAGCAAGCTTTCTACAGTGATCCCAATGTCCTTTATATTTCACTACATCGCTATGATGATGGAAACTTCTTCCCAGGCAGTGGAGCCCCAGATGAGGTAATAATATGATAAATATGTCTTTTCAGTTTCTTTTTATAATACTTTCTATAACTTTGAAATTAAGTGATTAAAATGCTCATTTTTTCAGTGCTGTTGTAACTTTGAACAGTCACTAAATGAACTGTTGTAAGTCAGGGACTACCTGTTCACTGTATATATGAGAAAGAGAGAGAGGTCTGCAAGGTACAGACTATGCAGTCCACTATGTGTTGGACTCGGAGACAGTCCAACACATAGTGGTAGGAAGTAAGGTACATCAGGAAAAGCATGTACTGAACAACACAGCCACATACCTGGCATAATGTACAGGAACATCTGCACAGAGTATGGGTTAGACTGTTCCAGATCCAGATGAGAAATTCTACAGAACATTGTGGAGAATAATAGGACTAAGATCCTGCCAGGTGTCCAGATCCAGCTGGACAGGCAGGTACTATCCAATCAACGAGACATTGTAGTAGTAGACAAGGACCAAGAAACAACAATAGTGATAGATGTAGTGATCATTTGTGATTTATTAAGGAAATAAATAGAAGATCAATTCCACAAATGACAAAAGAAATAAGACTGTATTATTATTGGAAGGATACAGGCTGATATATGAAAGTTGATAATAAAAAATTAGTTAATTTTAGTAATTAGTAATTCAGTAATCTCTAGAGTGCTATGTTAAATAAATAATTGTTAAGGATAATAAGGTACCTTATTATAAGGTACATACCAGTGTTGGTTTGATGAGAGC